CAGTTGTGGCCTAACCCGCCGAGTTGTAAATCACTGGGTCTCCTCCAACTGTCTCAGACTCCTCGACGCGCGCCGGGCTGTCCCGGCAGACCACGAGTACAATGAACAGCGCCTCTCGTTGAAGCGTGAACTCACAAAGAGTTGTTGCAAGATTGGTAGGAACCAATTCCCTCATTTTCGTTGAGTAATGACACCCTGGAAGTAGTCGTAATCTTTGTCTACCTTGGGAGTTGAATAACGGCTGGCGGAGGTGTAGGCGACGAGATCTCTCAACGCGTGATCAAAGCTAGATAAGCGTTTCCTAATCTGCGGCATCACTGGCGCCGACGCGACATATCCCTTCTACTGAAAGGGCGTGTGTATTGCAAAGCAGTACGCACAGTGTTGCTCCATGGCTGCGAAATCTGGCCTCTTCGAGCAGATCTCGTCCAACGACTTTTGTGTGCGCAACATCACCCGCGTATGGTGGGAGCATCGCGTGAATAATGATGAAGTCAGACAACGGGTGCCAGGATCATATAGTTTTCCGTTGAGCAGTATCGTCTTAGGTAACTAGGGCACATTCTACGAATGCCTGAGCAACGTCTGCCACACCATGTACTATTCACAGACATCGGTCCAGGCTGGAAGAAACAGCGAGGTAGGCAGGCTATGACGTGGCGCAGAGGGTTAAAGAGATTGTGCTCGTATCTGGCTTCTGTTGGGGTTTCCCGGCTCCCCGGCTGGGGCCCCAAAGATTCAGATTATGTTTGGCTGGAGACACTGCGGAATACGGCATCGAACCAAAGTCAGTGGCGTGAATGTATCCTCTCCAGTGTGCAATCCCAAAAATAAACAAAAACCAAAACGGCGTGTAGTAAACAAACAAAAAATTTGTTATCCCCCTATGTTGACTGTTTTGTCTTCCCCGCTTCTGTACCCATATTTTTCGTTCACTTATGGCTAGTTCGGCGCCGTAACAGTAAAGATAGATGTTATATATATATAGGTCTATGTATTTGCACTATTGATGAGACTCAACCAGGTGGAAACAGCTGTCTAGTGCTTCCTAGCTTTTCAGTTCGCGTTTCATTTGCGACGAATTTTACCTTTGGAATTGAATCAAATCCTCCATTATTCACGTAATAAAAACTCTTTGAAGATCACGTATGTATCGCGAAACTCAATCAGGATGGTACACCGCACCACATCAAACTACACCCACACATTTCAGACTCCAGTTCTGCATACATCTGCGACAAGGGTCAAGGTCATACACAGAGAAAAATGAGACAAAAAGAGAAAGGTGTTGAAGATAATGACTTAGGTCCATGAGTACGAGTGGCATATGGTACTCCGTAATAGCGAACAGTTAGGCATTGTTTTATTCTGAAAATGAGACCTCTCTGTATTGATAGAGAAGATCTGTTAGCCATCAACAGTTACTTCTTAATAATTTGTACAGTACTTACGAATTAAGCACTAGGCTATAGATTACCCTAACGAATAAGAAAACGACGCTTAAGTGCTGAACAAAATTATTCGGTGTTCCCATTTGTTGCCCTAAAAAGCAAGATCTGCCAGGCTGCAAACAGCAGTTCGCGTGCAATGGTTAAGTTGTTCAATGATAAACGGGCACACCTCAGACGGTTGCACGGAAATGTCGAAAAACTTTTCATTCAATAAGCGTCCGATAACTATCGGAATTCAATAGTTTGTCTTGTTCTGTCACTGGGTTTATCTAAATGCTCAAATTGTTGACATGTCTGAATGGGCCCACGATGGAACCGCTCGATCATTTATTTTCCATATGGACTAAAAGAGTTCACCAGCCAACAAGCATTTGTATTGTGACATACCGGTTGATAAAAGAGAGACCGGATTCATGGTATCGGCAACTTTTGGGGGACCGCATAACTTTTTAAACGACTGACTGATATAGCTGGTATGCTAATTAGCCCCCGAAAAAGCTATTTTTAATCCGAAAAGGGCAAGTTATTGTTGCCTGCACCCCCCCTCCTCCCGGCCACCCATTCATACACAGTTTGGCGGTAAAATTGGCAACAACGGACGCTTCGGGTTTTGTGCACACAATACTGAACTACATAACACATCAAAATCGTGTGTTTTCGTTTACCGACGATCTCAAAAAAGCCTGTTTCATGTACGTGGAGTTATTTTAACCACTGACACTGGTTAATCGTGTCTTTGAACCGCCTTCACCTTTGTTTTAAATTTCTACAGCAATGAATTTTGAATTTATAAGGCAAAGACAATTTCGATCTGCCTAGTAAATGTGCTGCAAGTGATGTGGAACCACTACAAAACAAAACGGCAGGCGTAAATGCTCGCTAACAAGAGTAATTTATTACGAAAGCACAAACAACATGACAAGATAAACCATTCAAGTTACATTCAAGTGTGGCACAAACCAATGACTGAAAACTCGTTTTGTCGGGGACGTTTTCGCACTAAATGCGTGTCTGCACTGTAGCAACCAAATTACCATCCACATCACAGTCATTGTCATCAATGTGCAGAAAAAGTGAAGTTCATAATCTTTGACAACTGAACAGAAACAAATAAGTGTTCAGCTACTAAGGGAATTAACTTCAAATTATTGTCATCCACTGTGGGCAGTTGAGCCCCAAGCTACGACAACCAACATTATACATGCGAAAAGCCCTTGCATCTGGATTTGAGGCAAAAAACCTAGGATAACCAATGTGATTCCAAGCGAAAACAGTCCGTATTAGCAGTGCAAGCAAACCGCATTCGGCAGCTTGCTATGGTAACGTTTCTTAGACGTCATGCTTAAGAAATTCTACTGATGACACGCATTTGAAATGTTTTCATATCCAATGTATTTCTCCACTGAGAGCACATTTTTTGTCAGCAAAATCGACCGTGAACAATGTAAAAAGTAACATTCCATCGGTATACTCAAAAGACACATCAACCTCTAATTGACTAACCAGAGGTAGAAACACATAAGCTCACATAAGTGAACACTACAAAATCCGCGATGTCAGAGGCCCCTGAGCCCGCCAAATGATCACGTTGGCCTCCCT